AATCTGTCACCGACTTTGGGAAAATCTGCCACGGACTTTGGGGAAATAACCCGCTTTCCCTTCAATGGGTGCTTTCGTGGGGCTGGGTGTTTTGGTTTCTGGCTGGACTTGGGGCTTGTGTGCTCGCTGTATATAGAAGCTACATGGGCCCATGAAAGGGCAGGGCCTTTAAAGGGCCTTCATATCACAGTAGACGCAAGCAGCAATTGGCTTGCTGCTGCAGCAGCAATTGTCATTGGTCGCTGCTCCACTACCACTCAGACATGTGTCAAGCAAGATGCAGCAAGACTGTCCTGAAGAGTGCGAGTGCCCAACAAAATCGTGTCAAGCCAGAGTGCCCTGAAGAGTGAAGCGTGTCAAGCAAGAGTGTTGTCGAAGAGAGCTTCCTTCAAAAATGAAACAAACATGTTTAAAATTTATTAAGTTCTTGAGACATGTTCTTAGCCGCGTAGTGGTGAAAACGTTTTCATTTTGGTTCGGTTCACCCACCAAAAAGTGAATCCGTTCTGAACCGAATTGTTGTTTAAACCGCACTGTCCCGGCAAATCATTTCCTCGCAGCGGCTGCAAAGTCTTTGCAGGCGCGCAACTCTCTGCGCGACGGTCCCCCAGCTAGATTTGCAGAGTCAGCGAAGTCAGTTATACGTTCGTTTTACCCAAAGTATGTTTCAGTCGTTGTAAATATCACTGACTCATAACTTGCGCCTCCCTCAAGCCTCACGCTCAGAACCTCACCAATGCTTGCGGGTTTCCGTCTATTGGACAGAACCGTGCAGTTCAATGAAGACTGAGTTGAACTCATGGAAAATAAACTAAACTGAACCCAAACTCATTTGTAGAAGACATGAGAAACAAATTCTGGTTCTGGGATAATGTTTGACGTAATGTTTACGTCCACCGATTTAAAGAGCCCCTGAAACCCGAGCTTCACAAACACGGGCGGCGCAACGTCAAGAAGGTATAACCAACGTCATTCAGGAGTCGGACAGAGAATTTCTTGTGGAAAACGCCGTCAATCCAGACTCGTGAATTCAGGCTCCGGCAGTGAAGTTGAAACAAGTCGAACCTGTCCAGAAAAAAAAGGCCATCTATATCGCAAGTCAAAAGTCAGAGCGCGGTATTTGTTGCTAGTGTCAAATGCAAAGCGCTGATTCTGAGATGCGTCGGGCTTGGGCCGTATTTTAACAGCAGGTTCTTTCCATGTCTAGATCTGACAGGTTTCGGCACTGCTCGACATATCTAAAGCTGCAGTTGCCCCCCAAACAAAACTCATCCCAGGCGCTCACAACCAATCACTTCTGGACCTGGAGCAATGGTCAACATAGGATGTTCATGGGTCTCCATTTAAACCCAAAGCAGAAAGTCGTACACTGAATCTGGCCTTGTTCGCAAGCAGTGCAAACTTTTCAGGGCACACGTGCAGCATCAGGCGCTCGATCAACTGTCCATCCGTCCTGCCGGATAAAAGACTGCTAAGGCTAAGGAAACGACCGTTTGCTAAGTGTCCAGTTCCAGCCATGCGGTCACCCTACTTCCTGCGCGCCTGCACTCAATCTTTTCGATAAAAGATTCGTCCGTAGGCTTCAGCTTCTTGTTGGCACACACGAAAACGTAGGTGCACTGCAGGTCGAACTCTTGACCGAACAGCGTCATCATCGACGGGCCGTCAGTAGTGCCAGGAACACGTGGCAGGTCAAAAATATGCTCACCCAGCACTTGGGGTAGCCAGGCCAACTTGGTCCCCCACAACAACCTGGAGCTTGAATGATTGAACACAAAAAATCAACAAATCAGAGTTGCCAAGGAAAGTTGTCAACTTGTTACAGTTGGACTACTCCACATGAACACCAAGGAACCCATATAAACGTGGCTTCGTTTCATCACCAATGAGCGCCAAGACTTGCGATCCACCTTTGCCTGTCACATCCTCTAGTCGGGAAAAACAAAAGATCAAGCTATCTTTGAGAGCAAGGATGGGCGCAACATCCTTTCCAAAAACCGTTGCAGGCAAAGTCCAGCCCCGGACCACGCCATCTTCACAAACAGCACTCAATTCAAATCCCTGGCATGGCATCATGGTTTCAGACATCGGGGCAAATGGCCGGAAGAAGAGACCGCTTAGTAGTTTCTGTCACCTTGAGCGCGATTGGCTAATACACAGCATTCAATCAACTAAACGCAAAACTGAATTCAAAACAAGTGTGAATGCAAATGGTTAGCATGGCTGCTAGCACTCACTGGCTTTTCTCAAGCACTTGTTTCTCGGCTTCGCCGCTAACTTTTCCCATAGGAGAGATCTATAGTTCTAGAACTAGTCGGCAACCCTTCCACAAGTGAAGCCGACCTCCACAGCTGGCAAAGGCTCCAATTGGCCGCGCAACACAACAAAGTGTTCACGACAAACATGGACAGTGACCACAGGCCAGGGGCCACGCTCATCACACCTGACTGAGTCACTGATTCTGATGGAGTTGGTGGAAATAAACAAAACGTGATTCAAACCTTCCGTCTGACATGCAACGAGGCGCTCAAGAATAGTTGTTGACAGTCTAGGCGGGTCGGTCACTGTCAATGCACTTTCACTGACGAAAAGAAAACGCTCCCCATCTAAGTTGAAGTAGTCGGAGTACACGCATGCGCCAGGTCTCTCGTTCCCACCAGCCATCTGCAGTGCAAAGGTCTCAGCAGCGAAGGCCAAAAACTTGTCAAAGCAAATCCTTGGCAAGGCAGCAAGGCGGGTGTCTCACTGAGCAGAACAAAACTGAGATCAACGAAGGTAGTCGGTACCAAGGACAAATAACAGTAGTAGTAAGGAGTAGTAGTAGTAGTAGTAGTAGTAGTAGTGGTAGTAGTAGTAGTAGTAGTAGTAAGTAGTAGTCGTAGTGGTAGTGGTAGTGGTAGTAGTAAGTAGTAGTAGAAAGTAGAGGTAGTAGTAGTAGTAGTAGTTGTTGTTTGTTGTAGTGAAAAAAGTAGTAACATCAACACGGTAACTCAGCTTAGAGTCGCGTGCTTCATCGGAACCCCGACTTGCCAAAACATGAGAAGGGCATCTTGGTTGTTCTGAAGGGTCCAACACTGCAAACCAGACCAGCGCAAAACGAAGGCAAACCGAGCAAACAGTTTTGTCATGAGGTCGTTGGAGACTTCGTCCCAACTTGGTTGGAAAGCTTGGCACGTCCAGTCATCGGAACATCTCCAAAAACGCGTCAGTGCCATGATCACCCCGGGCCGTGGCCCTTGAAACTGCCGAACCCCAAAAGCAGCTGAGGATGCAAAGCAATAACCACTCTTCACACAAACTGTCTAAGCTTGACAATGCCTTGGGCTTTTCCTGTCCGAAAAGAGCCCAGCCTGCACATTGAAGCAAGCCAGGCACTCATCCTGGCACGCGGACTGATTCGACTGACAAACGCTACAGCCCTGAAACCTGCAAGAATTCACAAACAATTGTTCTGTGACTTTCAACCTCCCTTGGACATCAAAACAGCTCACAGAACTGAATTCACACTTTTTGACACTGTTTCCACAACGCTTCACAAAGAGTCAGCAGGTGAAGCCAGCTGCTACAGCTGTCCGCAAAGACTTGTAGACCACGTGTGTGGGGATATGCTTGAACAAGCGCCAAACTTCCCCTTTCTGGCTTCCACTCTCTTTCAAACTCTTTGATTTCCCACTCACCAGTCAAACACGCTTTGCCGCCGCCGTCCAACTCCTGCCAATCCAAGTTTTGCAAAGCCTCCAGGCTTGCCCCTTGCTTGGCGGAGGCAGGTTGCCCTTTTTTGGCTGCTGGTCGGCGCATGACTTTTGCCCTTTTGGCCAATGTCTCACTAGGGTCCTCATCCCCAGCCTGTTCCTCCCCAGGCTGTTCCTCACCAGGCGTGCCGCTTGTCCCACCCTGCGCGATGGAAGGCTTCTTGCACAACTTCTGCTTTGTTGCTGGACGTTTGCATGGACCGGCGGTTGGCAAAGGAGCCTCTGGTTCACTCTCTTCAAAAACTTCAAGGCTAGGTGAAAGGAGCCCGGCATTTGCAGCAGCCAATCGTAACTTTGCTCTCTTCTGCAACATAGTCTCTGGTGGATTTCCACGGCTCTTCTCATCCTCAACCTTTCGGCTATCTTCCTCTCCGTGCTTCTTCTCACTCTCAATCTCTTGGCTTTCTGTCTCTCTGGGCTTCTTCTCATGCTCAACCTTTCGATCTTTCTGATCGGGCCTGACCTCTGGGCAAACTTCGGGTTGGCAACTCTGACCCTGCTTGCCACCTTCGACTGAGGAAGTCTGATCAAACATCCGATCAAAGAGCAACTGCTTCTGCGCCTGGTCGCCTGCCTGGATTTGTGGGTGACCTGATGTAGGAGGACCGCTGGGAGAACTAGTCGCGAACTGTCGGTCTGGAGTGAAAGGCACGGCATTCACATCCATCAGCCCGCGGGTCATTTCCTGCCGCACTGACAATTTCCAGTCAGCCATGATGCAACACAGCTTAACCTAGCTAGGTGAAACGCAAAAAACTCTGAAAAATGGCTTGGCTAAAGTCGAATAATCACATAGCGCCCAAATCAATAGGCTTGCAAGCAGAATAGATAATTCACCATAACCCAAGAGCGCGACACAGCTTTTCCATATCATATGGACGCCGTGGTGCCACAAAAGAACCCACGAGCAGGCAGCGACATTCTCCAGGCTCCCGCAAGGCCCCTCCAACAAAAAGAAAACACACATTGAACGATTGAACGCACATTATCACATGTCATTGTCGTTCGACACAGTTACCTTCAACTTCAGGCCATGAGAGTGGGTTTCCCTGGCTCCAACTCTACAGCATGTTTTGTGAATACGTAAGGTTTTTGGACCTTACTCACGGCGTGTACTCTTTCATAGCGGTAGCGAAAAACCACCAGCAGAGAGGCAGATCCTCGAATGACCTGCGCACAATCATGGAAAATGTTTTTGCAAGTCGGCGGCTTGGCGCTGTCGGTGTTGGTCATGGTCTGGTACACATGAGCAGCCCCCTCTTTGATTTTGATCTCAAAGCCATCGTCTGATCCTCCCGTCTTGCGCTGGCACTCGCTGTAGCTCAGGTCATACTTGGTCACCCTCTTTGACCTCTCCAGACTCACCAAGTACTTGTAGAGCGTCATGCATGGGAAGCCTGCCTGACTGTCTGCGTTGAGACTGGACATGTCCACTTGGATGGGCGTCTTGTCGCCAGCGTGCCACTCCAACTGAACATGCGTCGCAGCAGCAGCGGAATCACCATCATCCGCAGCAGGCACGTACCTCGCTAAGCACCGGGTATGAAGGTAAGCTCAGAGCGCAAACAAGTGAAAGAAGAAACACAAAAAGAAGAAGGCAATCCCAACGCTCAGCCAAAAGTGCTTTCCTGTCCCAAAACCGCCCAACAGCGTGTGCTTTGGTAGGATCCTGCGCTTGTCGCTCATGATCAGGACCTTCCCTGACGATGTCTTCAAAATTTCCACACCGCTAGTCAAATCTCTTCAAGGCGGTGGTATCTTGCTCTGCAACGGATTCTGTAGTTCCTTCTCCCTGTGCAGCACCTCCGCCATCGTCTTCATGACCCGCAACTGCAAGGGACCCTGTTGTAAGGACAGAATCCAAGATGTTCTTGTACTTCTCATCATGTTGTTGTTGCAGCTGCTTGAACCTTGGGCGATCGGCCAATAGCTGAGCAAACAGCCACAAGATTTGGGAGAATGCTTGAAATAAAAGCATGAAAAAGTGTATCGCTTTCAGCCTGATCACTCCGTTGTCAGCTTCCCCGCGTCAGCAAATGCCCTTCACCTGGTCCGGGTGGATTCTGAACTCTGTTCCGCTCCGGACCAGCACCTCCAAGTTCATTCTGTCTGGCGAATCCAGGAACTTGTACCCATCAATCTCGTCCTTTTCCTGACAGGGTCCACAAACAGCTTTCGTTCTCTTGCCAGAAACAGTACAAATAAAGGCACGAGTCACGAATCCTGAAACGCACACACATAAGTCTTTAGTTTAGGGACAAAGAACCTCTGCAGAGAGCTTCGGCTCTTCATCCTCGAAGCGAATGCCACCGAAAGTGATTTTTCGGTCGATCCAGAGGTCCATCAACTCTCTGTTGACCCTGGCTTTGCCGTATTTGAAATGCTCCGGTCCATCCAGGACATGGCAGCTCAGATAGTAGAGGAACTTGGTGTTGAAGTCACCGCCCTCGCCGCCAATCTGTCCCTTGATCCTCAAGTTGATCACCTTTGAACGCACAAAGGCCAAGCCAAGCCTGGTTTTAAACAAAATAAGCCTACAAATTAAAGAACGTTCACATCACAGACTTCAATTACAAGAAAGAATCTTGACTCAATGGCCAGCAAGTCACAGCCTGAGCTAGCTCCTCGACGTAGCCCGTCATGTTCACGACGCACACGGCGCGAAACTTGCAACCTCGAAGCGCCGAGCTGAGGAGCATTTCAAGGCGCTTTGCGCCTTTCTGCGCGGCAACCTGTTCCAAGCTTGGCCGCAGTCTTTCAGAGATGCGCACCGCGTCCTGGAACTCAACACTGCCAAATAACACGTTAACGTTGCTCTAAGCAGACCAAACATCGGGGCGGGCGAGTCGAACCAAAGGGTTGCCAAACAACAAGAAAGAATATGCCCGCTGCTCCAAGATTCCGGAGATTCCGGTTCTGGAATGAGGAGAGAAGTGGTTTTTGGCAATGTAGCCACTGGCGCACCATCCATTCCTTCGTTCGGTCCAATGCTGCGGCCATAAATGGCAAGCTCTCCGTTCAGCCACTGGTTCGTGGCGGCGCCGGCGGTGGCTGAGGAGGATACCACTATCCTCCCGCAGCCAAAGCGCCTGGCATTGGAGCGCATCTCGGCCTGCCTGCTCTCTCTCCCCCAAACCTCAATCCATCTGCAATCGCACGCCTGGTTCAAGCTGAAAAGCTCCTCGCACAATTGACGCTCCTCGTCATAGGTACCCCTGAGGCTTGAATCTTTGGGGTAATCGGCTGAATCACGATGGAGGCGGCGAGCAGTGGGTGCGACTCGTTGATCATAGCCATGCCTTTGCAAAGGGCTTGGCAACCGGCTTGACCTCGAGCGAACGGCGCATTCAGGTCTGCGAAGCCAAGGAGGGCAATCTCTTCGGAAGGAACTTGGCAGTCATTCACCTCAGGTCATACAGCTTTATCCTATCACTGTGGTTGGACTGAAAAACAAACAAAGGGTGTCAAACTTAAACAACAAAATGCTATTCAACGCCCTCCCGCTGACGATGTGCGACTTCATCTTTGCAATCTCCGATTGCATGAGCTCAATCTTCGGGATTTGGGTCACTCGCACAAACGACTCCTGGCACCCCCGTTTTGTACATCCTAAACCGGCCCAACAGGGCTCCTTTCACCCAACAACATGGACAATCGCTTGACAACAACACCGTTAGACCTTGACTTGACTATTGTGTTGTTTGGGCATGAGGTCCTGATAGCCTTGGCAAGCTCGACGGCCAGCATCTGCTTGCGACTTCCGTGCCTGCACCATCTTCTCATGAAGCCTTCCCTTGACCTTGGCTGGCACCGCCGCAACTCTTGCCAGCTTCGCCTGGTCAGAGTTCAAAGCGACTTTGAAGAAGGTGAACTGGGCCCCCAATACCTCTTGGCGCTGCTGCGAAACTTGTGAGAAAATCAGATTGTCCTTCTCACGCTGAAGCTGCTCAGCGGCAGCCTTCTGGCTTTTCAACATGCTCAGCGAAAGCTTGGATGGGCGGGATTCGAGAAAAGGAGCAAAGTCGTGGGACTTGCCTTGGATGAAGTCAGACTCCCACGTTGGCCAATCCGCCTCTGGGATGCGAACCTTCAAGTGTGGCCAAACCTGAGCAAAAAAGACTGAAGCGTTCCTCTCCTTGGCCAACTCTTCAGGACTCAAACGATACTTCTTCTTTGCATGTAGCGGGATGCCCACGGTCGCTCTGCTGAATAGGGATTTCACCCGTTGGAAGAAGATGAGCTGACCCAATGGCGTCATTGGGAGCGACCAGTCCACCTGACACCCGCTGCACAATGAAACACAAAAAATGGGGTCAAGAGGGGAAACTCTGTGACACCTAAGTCTATTGTCTATTGTTCTCATATCCGATGTAACTGAATATGCAAGATATATACATATATATATATATATTTATATCACATCTACCCACAAATAGAAAGTGAGTCACCAAATTGAACAATAGCAGTCACTCAAACGGAACACTTGACATCATAGCCAAGCAAAGCAAAGCAGTTTTTACTGACATGTCATGGCACTTCACAAAAAGCTTCGCCAGACATAGGATGATCAGTTTCGTCGCTGAGCGGGTTGGCTTCAAGGTTGGTCTTCGACTGCAAAAAGCATATGCTAGTCGCAGCAAACCCTTCACCAAAGGGTCCAAGACCAAAAGGCTGGTCATGCGTGCTTGCCACAACCTCTTCGTAGGCCTCTTGGCTGGTTTTGTCGACCCAATGCCGAACTGCCTGCTTCTTTCTTGAGTCGAGGCTGATCGTCCCAGAGCCGGTCTCTTGGCGATCGTGTGCCACGACTTCGGGGTGGGAATTGTACGCAGCCAAAGCATCTTCAAATGTAGCAGTGGATTTGCTGCTGGCAGCTTTCAAGATCGAGCACCATCCCAGAGATGAAATGGGCTGTACCTTGGCGTTGATTTAAGAAATCGCTTCGGGCCGGTGTCTGTCGTTTTGATGAAATCCTCAGAAAACGATAAAATGATGAAAAACGATGTTTTCCGAGAATTCCGAAATTCATAAAAAGTGACCAAAACGGGAAAAATAACAAAAAATAACATTTTCTTGAAATCAGCAAAAAATGATATTTTTTGACCTTTTTCGTCGTTTTCATTTTCACGAAAATTGAAAAATGCATGTTTTATCATTTTTTAAAATGTTGAAAAAACACATTTTTTCAATTGTCGATTTTCAGAAAACTTTGATCCAATGATCCGATGGTCTGCTGATCCGGCGGTCCGATGGTCTGCTGATCCGATGATCCGATGGCCCTATGATCGAGGGGTCCCTCACCCTCTTCCTGTCTGGCCGATGGTCCGATGATCCGGTGATCCAATGGTGTGCTGATCCGATGGTCCGATGATCCCATGGTCTGCTGATCCGATGGTCCGATGACCCGATGGTCTGCGGCTCCAAAGGTCCGATGGTCCGATCGTCCGGTGATCCGATGGCGTCTGGCACGTCTGCATCCTCCTCAGCGAGGGGTCCCTCACAGTGGGTGTGAGGGAAGCCCTTTTCCTGTCTGGCCGATCGTCCGATGATCCGGTGATCCGATGGTCCGATGATCCGATGGTCTGCTGATCCGATGGTCCGATGACCCGATG